CTCTCTCTCTCTCTGGTGAGCAGGAGACAGATATGCAAACTGTGACACACACTCGACAGGTAAGTTTCCAACGATTGCCAAGCACCAGCAGGAATCCAACAACTGTAACAGGTAAGTTCAAATCCCGATGGCAACCAACCCAGCAAACAAGAACTGCAAAGAATCTCTACGGTGATACCCCAAAAAAAAAAAAAAAAAAAAAAAAAGCTCTCCCAAAGATCAAGCAGCATTGCATCGACTGCATCAACAACAGAGCACAGGTTAGCCTCAAATCCACATCAACCCCAAGCCCTAAAAACGGTCCCTCGCATCTTCCCATTTTTACCTCTTTTGATTTGCGAGCGAAGCCGCAACAGGTACCCTTGTAGTATGTGGGGGTGATACTGAGCAGGTCAGGTGGCACCATGTGGGGCGGGTTATCATTTGCAGCGGTTGGTACCATGGGTGGTACTATGTGGACCGGAGAGTCCTAGTGTGAGTATGTCGTAGGTAGTGGACAACTCCAAACAGGGCTGCCATGTACCAAAATACGTCCCGGTGAGCGATGTACTTGTATCCAAACATTCTGGTACTCGAACATTGTGGGTGCGTGCTCAGACTCTGCACGGCACCTGTATGTGCTTGTATTCGAACATTCCCAGCTCGTTCTCCGACTCCAAACAGTCCCGCTTTGACAACAACTCCGAGGGCATGCTCACGCTATGACTTGTTCTACTAAGCTTTGGACATGATTGCTGTCAGATTCATCCGCGCGACTTGGAAGTGCTAGTGCGACTATGCCCCAGCTCGGGCCGACGCCCATGAGTTCGAAAGTGTTAGTGTGAGTATGCCTCGGCTCTGGACATGCTCGTGATCAGATTCATGCGCATGACTGGGAAAGTGGTTGTGCGAGTATGCCCCATCTCTGGACAGGCTTGTGGTCAGATTCATGCACACGACTCAATGCAAAACCTCATTTTCCGTTTTTCCGTGTGGGGGTTAGTTAATATGGTCGGTAGCCCTGCTTGATAGATGTAGTGCTGGCTAGCCCCTGCTTGGTCGATATAGCCCTGGCTAGGTAGATGTGGGTAGGTAGTGTAATCCATACTAGAGAGAAGAATATAGCTTAGTTTTTTTTAATAAAATAAATTAAAATAAAACCAAATAATGTTCTTTTTAAGAAAAAATGAAATAAAATAAAACAACATAACATTAACAAGAAGAAGAGAAGAAGAAGAAGAAGAAGATGAAGCCGCAATTGGCAGATTATGGCTCACAGTCCTTGCCATGTTTTGATTGGTTGGTTTTTCATACCCGCTGTGTGGCAGGGTCCCTGGGTGATGAAGCAAACTGTGGGCAGCAGGGCAGTCCTCCTTGGTCAAACCTTAGAAATCACCTACATCAAGGGTGACAACTACTTTGAGGTGAGTACCAGTGAGTGTCTGAGAAGAAAACCATGATGCAGTATTGGAGTAAGTCCAGAAAAAGCATTCAATGCTGGCTTCCCTTCCTCCCGATCCCTTGCATACATACATACATACATACATACATACATACATACATACATACATACATACGTTCATATGCACGCATACGTACATATGTAGTAGCACATACGTGGACAAATGTACATGCGTGCATGCATGCATGCATGCATCCATCCATCCATACATGCATCCATCCATCCATGCATGCATCCATCCATGCATGCAGACATGTACACACACGCAATCCTCTCCCCCCCCCCCCCCCCGATAAGTATACAGATGTGGTGGGCCTTTCCGCCATTCAGAATACAAAAATGAAACGGCTGTTTCATCAACACAGTCCATTTGTCAAAACATTACAATCATTTGACAGATCACATAAAACTTGATAAAAGATTTAAAACCACCAGTACCCCAGGAGGTCTTAGCCCCCCTCTGATGCAAATGGATATGGACCTGTGCGGCGCAGCAATTCAGCCTCCGCGTTAACGCCTAAAACGCAGTAGGTACTGGTGGTTTAAGGCCTTTTCCAATATTGGTTCTATGCGTCTGCCAGTCTGGTTGGGAAAAGGTTTGTTCTGCTGGCAGTCTACAACATATACGTGCACACTCGCCCTCCTTTTTGGGTGGTAGTTGCGTTTAGCAAATGCAAAAGACGCAGAGCTAACCAGGCGTGGAAGCCAAAGGTATAGGTGTGCCAAAGACCAGAAGCAATCCATGGTGGACTCGGTAGGCGGTGACAGCCACGAACTGTACCGTGGCAACACCTTAGACTTTTGCGTCTTTGAGATTATTTGCATTGCTTCTGGACTCGTTAGCAGCATTCACACGTCTTCTCTTCTATAGATAAACTGGCCGGGACCTTGTTGTACCCTGTGAACAAAGCGGATGTCTTATCTACTACATATTAGGGCATACCCTGTTGTCGCCTGAACAAAGGAGAGGGGGCAATTACAGTGCACGTACAAGAGCTGCTTTCAGTGCATAATGCATTTGTCATGCCTTCAGTGCAGCATGACAACTGCCTTCACTTACAGTTGTAGCATGACAACTGTGGATTGAATGTCATATACGTGCAGTGCAGAGAGGCTATCCGTGTACCAACTTGGGCTAGGCCAGTTGTCATTCTGCCAAAAGCCAGAAGCGACAGACAAACCACGGACTCTGGCAGTAATAGGTAAGGGGCGTCGCTCCACTGCTCCCCACATGTGCAAAAGGGGAATGAATCTATGGTTGCAACATGGAAAGATACATTGCCATAGCTTTTGTCTTTTGTGCAAGTGGACAGTAGTGGAGCGAGGCCCTAAGCGTAAGTTGAACCAATTCTGGAAGGAGGGAAGTTTAACCCGCCCTTGCCCGCCCTCACACGGCCTTGCTGCACTACTCTCCAAATGTGTTTCAAAACCAGAGTGAATCTTCCCCGAGAACATGGAAAGATACACTGGCACGATTTTTGTCTTCGTGCCTGTCTTGAGTAGTGGAGTGGGGCCCATGCTGACACTACGAGTTTTTTAATTTGGCACACACAGATGTGGAGCGCGGCCACAAAAACAAATTGCGCAAGCGGCGAGCCATCTCTTAATTTTCCCAGGCGGGGACACTCCCCCCCGACGTTTTTTTTTTCTTTTCTTTGGAGGACCCCTAATTTTGCCCTTGTGGCACACCGGGTGCGCAATGCGCAGTGCGCCGCACGTGCGCGCGGTTGAAACCATACTTGCGGCGCGTCACGTGCGCGATGCGCCGCAAGTATGGTTTCAACTTTTAACCCTAAACCCTTTTAGGCTATTAGGTTGAGTCACTTGAGTGAGTTCACTTGTCAAGCGCAAGGTGGCAAATACACTTCTGTCCGATAGAATTTTGTGAATTTCCGATTTCGTGGGTGATTTTCTATCGTCATGTGGTTCCTTTTTGCAGATGGATGTGGATGCAGGTTCTTCGATGGTGGCGAGTGGGATCTTGCGCATGACCTTCAGCTACATCACCAATCTTGTCATCGATCTTGCATTTCTTGTGCAGGTAAGAAGGAGAAAATGAGAACGAAATATATATATATGGGGTGTGAACC